AGGCAAGAGCATCGTCAGGTAAATCAACACGCAAGTCATGAGGTAAACCGTAGAGAACGCATACAGCCTGTCAGGGCTCCAGAAGTTACCCCCATTTAAATCATGAGTCTCTAGCCAAACTTCCAGAACTTAAAGATTTATTAGGACTAAGCAAGCTGGTGCTGCCTGAGTGTAGCCGACTCCGAGACACATCATTCACTGTCACCCTTGATTCTGGCTTTCCCTCACCCCCTGGGTGTACTGTAACTCATATTCCCCAATGGGACACATCCGTAGCCAAGAGTCATCAATTATACCCTCCATTTAGAATTTTGTGCGGCAGAAACTTCAGTCGCCTAGAAACTATCTTTGAAAACATTTATGGAATGCAAGCTGCCCACTGCTCCCCGCTCGCTTTCTGTTGGCAACTCTAAAAGACCACAGAATTGTTTTATCAGTTGACACAGCGCACAGAGGAAAAAAAGGCAGGAAAAAACAAGGAAATTCTCCCTTTACTCTTATAGCAACCAATCAGATTCCCTCATGCCCTGGCCAGCTCTCTTCAACCAATTAACTATAACTGTGTGTTCTTACTCATTGTCCAATCCTTCATTGCTCCAGCTATTTAATTTTTAATTATCTTAACGGAGTTCTGTAACAGAGCTTGGTGTTAACAGGAGTGTGCATAAAAATAGCCCCAAATCATTCCAAAATGCCAAGAGCTGAGTGAACATTGCCAGCCAATCCAGAGTTCATACTTTCACTAACTGAATCCTCAGGAATGTCACATAAGAGCTGGATAATAGATGGTTGTTTCCAATACAGGAACATGGGTTAGAGCTGCCTCCTTTCTCTGGCTACAGCCAACTGTCATTCCTCAAATTTACTCCTTTGCTTGTCATGTGGGGGCTGGACAGCCTTATGTCATTCACATCTGACTGCCGCAGCTGTTCAGGTTTGATCAGCCTCATGGGATTCTTGGCTTCCACTCTCCTGAGGCTCACATGCTCTGGTTTTAACTAGAGCACTTCCTCAGAATCAGTATAAGTGTTTGAATCCTGAGCCACCACCTCTTGAGAAAAGGACAGCACCAACCCTGCTGGCATTTTATTATCTATGACAGCCTCTGAGGTGCCAAGGGTATATAGGGACTGGCTTCTTGGTAATGTTACTCACTTGAGTTGTTCCATGGCTGCTATGTATTTTAACTTTTGTAATATTTATAAATGTTCTTATTTTTTTAAAAAAAACTCTGTTCGCTGCTCAGGGATATTCGTTGAGATTAGCAACCATATAAATTGGATCAATCATTCTTTTGTTTTATTAGTCAGAGGCCAAGATTATTATTTTTGCCTTTATTCTGTAATTTCAAAAATTAAAATTGTTCCTGCATTTGATCTTCTGTTCTGGGCTCTGTTGTGTCTCTCATATCCCTCCCTCCCTCCAGCCAAGCCCACCGTCACCATCTCCCCCTCTAAGATGGAACCCGCTTCCCCCAACACCATCCTCCTCTGCACCACGACAGGCTTTTACCCCCTGGAGATCAAGGTCCAGTGGCTGAAGAATGGCCAGCTGGAGGAGGAGGGCGTGGCCTTCGGGGTGGAGCTCCAGAACGGAGACTGGACCTACCAGCTGTGTTAAGCTTTGATAGTGTGAGTCTTTCTGTCCCCTCCCTCTCTCCTTCTCTCGCTCTGAGTGTGTGTGTGAGAGAGAAAGAGACAGAGAGACACAGACACAGAAAGAGACAGACATAGAGACAGAGATACACAGAGACAGAAAGAGAGAGAGGCAGAGACAGAGAGACAGACAGACAGAGAGAGACAGAGACGCACAGAGACACAGAGACAAGAGACAGAAAGAGACAGACACAGAGAAACAGACACGGAGAGAGACAGAGAGACAGACAGAGAGAGACAGACAGAAGAGACAGAGAGAGAGAGAGACAGACAGAAGAGAGTGAGGAGAGAGAGAGAGAGAAAGAGAGACAGAGACAGACAGAGAGACAGAGAGTCGATGGGCTCTGACGGAATCCCCTCCGGGTGACTTTCTGCCAGTCGTCTTTTGCACCAGGACCCGGGGAGGCCCACGATGCCGCTTGCAGAGCTCACTCCCCAGGGCAGGTGCAGCTCCGGGCAGAGGCTGCCCAGCATAGCCTTCAAAGCTGCTCCCACAACCGCAATTTCTTCCCAGTGGCCAGCAGAGGTCGCTCCCTTGGCTGCTGACTAAGGCCATTGCACATGCTCCACTATGTCTGAATAGTCAGCTAATTCCAGCTGAGAGTTGCTCCCTGGGAATCTGGTGGTGGCGGGAAAGAGGGTTTCCCGCGACTCAGATCCTCCCCAGGGTAGGCAACAAGGCTTGAAGGGAGCGAGAAATCCTCCCCGTAACTACTCTGGGCAGTGCATGGGGGGAGATCCAAGAATGGGGCAGTGGGGAGGAGAGAAAGAAACCTAAATGAATCCCCTACTCACATCTCCTTCACATTCAGATTCCGGGGCTGCAAGGATCTTTGGAGAGCCAGGAGAGCCAGCAGTCCCCAGGTGCCAGTGGTTGGAAGATCCCTTCTGAGACTGGCAGAGGAGAAGAGGCAGGAAGGGCCCCAGAACAGAGAAACTTCTGTAGAAAGTTAGCACACCCACCCCTCTCCTAGAAGAATGAAATATTCAGATAACAGATAATCAGAGTGGGAAGGGACCTTGTAGGTCATCTAGTCCAACCCCCACCCCCACCCAAGCAGGAGACCTACACACATTTCTGACAAATGGCAGTCCAATCTCTTCTTGAAAGTCTCAAGTGATGCCGCTCCCACAACTTCCAAGGGCAACTTCTGTGCCATGGGTTGATTGTTCTCAGTAGGAACATTCTAGGAAATATTAAAAAGGCAGAATAGAATATTTGCCTGGATGAGAAAAGGGGAAACATGTCTTTAAAGACAAAGCAGCTCCCTGCCCCACCATCCCCCGCACCAGGATGATGGGATCAGGGCATGATAGGATTAGCCATCTACCTGTAGGAAGTTAGCACCTACCCCTCTCCTAGAAAAATGAAATATCCCAGGAAATATTAAAAAGGCAGAATATTTCCCCTAAAAAGAAAAGTAGAAACTCGCACACCCACCCACCTTTGCTAATGAGCCATTACTCAGGCCTGGGCCAGTGTATTTTACATAACAGACATCTACTCCAGGTAGAGCTATAATAGGAACTGCACAAAGCCCTTTCATTGCATCATCATCCAGTAAGGCTCAACCAAACCCGGGACTCAGGACAGCCTACAGAGTTGCTCCTGCACAGCCCCATGGGAGCCTGACAACCAATCAGAATACAAACTCAAATTCAAATCCCAACAGAGAGCATAAAACCCAAAGACTCTCAGCATCTCTTCCCTTTTACACCCAGGAGTTCCCAGGCGTGTGATCCTGCGCTCCATTAAACCTCCTTTCCAAGCAACTTCCACGAATCCAGTGTCATTTTCCTCCCGCTTAGAACTGAACCCAGGATATTTCTTCCAACAATTTGGTACCCAGCAGATGGGACTCCCAAGTTAACTGGATTAATGGACTGGTCCAGATAAGCAGACCCTTGCTGGCAAGCTGACCCATTGAGTCTGTGGGTGAGTTTCCCTGGATCTTGGCCATTTGGAACAAAGGTTTTAAAAGGGGTCTTGAGTGCTGAGCTCAAAGGCTTCATGGAAAGAAGAGGAGTACCTCTAAATTTTAATTTTATAGCCCAGAAAAGCGTGGGAAATGTGTGTATGCCTTTGTGTGTGTGTGTGAGAGAGAGAGAGTGAGTGAGTAAGTAGATCTTTCTTCCTCTGTGTGTTCTACCAAGAGAGCTAGTATCAATTATATTACTGTTAATAACAATGATCACGCTATTAGTTTAACCAAGTTAATGTATCTTCCTTATATCACTTATCCTTTAATATATTTCCCTTTTTCTAGCTCCTGTGTTTGTCTGCTAGCCATTGATAAAATAAGTCCCAAGTTTAAAAAAAAACGTTTCTTCTTTTTCCTTAATTGTAAGCATTAGCTTATTCTAATCACATCTTCATTGGTTGGGATCTCTTCACTTTCCCTTTGTTGTGCAAATACTATTCTTGCTGCAATCAATACATGTAAAATCAGATACACATTACCTTTGTTATACCTGTCTGGTAGTATGCCCAACAAATATCTGTATGTTGTTTTATCATTTCTTTCAAGCCATGTATGTTTTTGTCCAATATTTTTTTTACTTTTTGACATGCCCACCACATATGATAGTATGAACCAGGTATGAATCCAGTGTCTTTTTCCCCACTTGGAACTGAACCCAGAAGGGTATTTCTTCCAACACTTCTTTTGGGTGCGGCTTTGCTCCGCATTAGGAGGGCTTCTCATTGAGTCCAATGCATCAAGAAAGAGACCAAGCCGGTTCAGTCTTGGATGAGCAGCCCCGAACACACGCTCAGGGAAGCTCTTTTATTGAACACACATTGTTAAACATCACAAAAGAGAGAGTTCAGTCTACTTTACATGTTAAAAGAGTGGGGGGTCTCAGTGGATACATTGTAGCACCCAATCACAGTGCTTAAGGGATACAAAGTAACCAATCCGCGCCTGCAGTCCAGCCAGTAGCCCAAGGTGGGCAGCATCATTTTGTTCCTGATACCTGCTTTCGGCCTACATGAGGTCTTGCAGGTATCGAAACTCCTTTGCCTACGTGAGGCTTTGGCATATGCCCAGGCTGTTAGATATGGATTCGCTGCTGCATTTGGGGAATACGGAGGGATCTTCACATGCTTGAATTCTTCCATTTCTCTCTTATGGAGTTTTGGAGATTAATAATCGAAGTAGATATTTAGGGAACCTCATTAGTGAAATTAGTCTTGCTTCCCTCCAAAGAGGATCTCACTTGGAGTGATTCTCTCATTGGTCTCATCCATCTTCACTGATGGACACAAGGGTTTTGTAGGCAGAAAATAACATCCAGATCCTCTTTTGTCCTGTCCTCTTAACTGCTCCTTTGCTTCTATTTCAGGTTCTGAGGTCCTTCCATGGATGGTGAGTAATTGGGTGGATCACACAAATCTTTCTCCTGATCTGTCTTTCAGAGGGATTCCCAAGGATAGAAGTCAAGGTGTGGATTCCTCACTAGGTAAGGGGAGACTCTTCCACTGGATTGGAGGTTTTCTAGAAAGATTCTAGTTATCCTTAATTATCTGTGTCTTCTTGTGTCTTAGTCGTTGGATTTAGTAGGTGACCCAATAGGAAAAATGATTCCTTCTTCAAGCTAGAAGACTTAGGGGCCACAAAAGAATTTCCTGCCTTCAGAGCATGCTTATTGTTTGCCTTTTGCAGAAGACCGACCCTTGGAAGGGCCATCTTGACTTGCATTCTGCCTCCTCCTCCATCCAGAGACGTTTCTTTGTTTTTGGCCTTCCTGAAGAGATAATTTTGACTAAATTCCTACACAGATCCCTGCTGGGCCATTTCCAACACCACCTGTCCTTGCAGGCATATTTCCTGGGTTGCTAGAATATCACCCATTTCTCTGGTTTTAAACTGCAGAGAGTGAGGGGGTGGAAGAGAATTTAGAGTGATTGAGGAAATGCTTTGGTCGCCAAACGCAGCATGTGGTGCATGTTATGTCCCTGGACCTTGAAGAAGTTCCCACCCAGGTCCGTTCTCGCTGCAGGGGCGGCTGCCCCTTCTCATTGGCTGGGTTTCCCCAGCAGCCTGCTATAAAAGCAGGCTGCTGGGTCCAGCCCTTTCGCTGTTCGCTGCGAGCCAGTTCCAGGCTGAGCAAGCACGTTCAGTCCTTGTAAATAAACCTTGTTGCACTAAGCCCTGGTTCAGCCTCTTATTTCCCATACTTAATACTGGCGACGAGGATGGGATGGCTACCAGAGGCAAGCTGCAACGCTGAATCACTAAAACGCTGATCCGCAGCCCAGAGAGAGAGCGATCAGCCAAAATAAGGGCAAACGCTGACCGCAACCCAGAGAGAGCGATCAGCCCGAAATGAGAACGAACGCTGAATCACTAAAACGCTGATCCGCAACCCAGAGAGAGAGCGATCAGCCAAAATAAGGGCAAACGCTGATCGCAACCCAGAGAGAAAGCGATCAGCAAACAAGCTAGTGAA